CGTCCAGGCCCTTATGACAGAGGAAAGAAATAATACAGAAAAGACAGAGAGAGAGAGAGAAAGAGAGGGAGAGAGATCAGTCTTCTGGCTGCCAGCTCCAGCAGGGCTCACCTCTCCAGAATATTCTAATTACCAGCCCTCCTCATTACAGATGTCATGTCAATGAGAGAGGGAGAAAAGAAAAGAGAGAAAGAGAACTTCAAGCAGAGAGGACCAATTCTGTAATTTCTTAATCACTTTTTTGGCAACCTTTGCATGTGCCGTGGTTAATGCCACAAATTGAATGTTTCTTTGGTTTCTCTCTAAATAGGCTATCATGCCGTTGCGGCGGCGCTTAGTGAAATCTATTATTGTCATTTGCATAGGGGCCTTTTTAGTGGCAGGATCCTACAGAGGGGCGAAGAACAAAGAGCTCATGAGGGAGAAAATAGGACAGAAATGATCCGGCGCTGCCTTCAAAATGTGACGTCAGGTCCCTAATGAAATCTTTTGACTGAGACCATAGCAAATGGTGGAATCTATATCTGACACTTAATGGTTTGCATAGAAATTAGAGACGGAGAGCGAGCGAAGGACCCCCTTTCGCTTGATGTCCCCTGATTAATTTACAGCACTTTTGTTACATCGGCATCGTCCAAAATAAATTAACCACGCCGGAGATATCAGAAACGGTTGGGGGTGGGAGATGCAATTTATTAGAGAAAAAAGTTAGATGAGATTAAATAAAACACCTAATTGACAGGAAAAGTCACCAAGCACAGGCGCTGTTCGCCATTGTTGGAGAGAAGCGTGTGTATGTGTTTGGAAGGGGAGGGTTGTGGTGGTGGTGGTGGTGGGGGGGGCTGTAAGAGGGAGAAATAAAGAGAGCGATAGAGAGAAAGAGGTGGCCACTTGATTTCCTATGAAAATTAATCGGCTATCAAACAATCTTGGTCTGCCGAGGATGATTATACAGCAGGGGCAGAGACAGAGGAGGCAGGGGGAGAAAGTGAGAGTAAGAGAGAGAGAGGGAGAGAATGCCCTTTGTGTAGGTGAAATGTGTCGGGGACTGTCATCGTAATATACCTCAGTGAAATGAAGGTTAATTCTGATGTACAGCCTGCATGGCCGTCATTATCGGCGAATCATGAAAATAAATTAAGCCACTGAAATAGATACTCCTCTGGTACGCGGCAGGGATCTCATGAAGGATGGACGGCTGAACTTTACAGATTATTATTGGGAAATAGTGCCGAATTCAATTAATGCATCTAAAAGACACCTTTATAGAGGGCAGCCATAATTTAAATGACAGCAGGGTGTAATTTTGCTTGTTATAAGTCAAATTTGCAGAGTTTCATGTTTCATGCGTTTTTCTCCTTCCCCCAACCCGCTTTATCCCTTTTCCCCCCCCTTTTTTATTTTTTTCTGTTTGCCGAGGATCTTCCTGTCTTTACTCCATGAAAATTCCTGAAAAGAAGGAAACCCTCTCGCGTGTTAAGGTTGACGCTTGCTGTGCGGCTGGAATCAGATTTAAACAAGATATAAATTAAATAAATAAAAAATAAAAAAATCCATGCATTTCCAGCATTGTAACCTCTCCTCATCTCCTCCCGTGTCTCAAAGTATATTTACAGTAATCCTCTGCGGCAGATCCTGCATCGCCTGTCCGCTTCTCCACCTCACGGTGCAGGACCCCCCGTGCGCACGAACCACGCGAAGCGTACAGATGCCAGAGCCTTTATGCAGATCCACCCCACCTTGAAGACTGAACGAAAGACCAATGAACTGGGTAAATGGTTGACCTCTCACCTGAGCACAACGGAGAGAGAAGCCAGCGGCTTAATCCAGGCAGGTGTCTGACAAGTGGGCGAACACAGCCAGGGCCGTATCGCGCTGACCCTCGCTCAGACCTCCCTTATCTATTAATCTACACCTCTCTGTAACAGGGGGGTTGAATTAACACCTCGACGGGGCACGGGGGCGTCTGATTAACACACATCCCCCCACCAAACCGATGCCTGCCTGCCTGCCTGCCTGCCCAAATACAAGAGTGGGAGAGAGAAGAGACACATGCGAATACACATGTAAATTCACATGCACAGAACTGTACATACAAACACACATCTTCTGTATTTCTATAACACACACACACACACACACACACACACACACACACACACACACTTTTTACAGCATGATCACGCCATGCAAGGTTTAACATGGCTGTTGCCACATGTTTTATGGCAGTTTTCTGAATAACCAGGGAAAATAATGTGCACCAAGAAATGAAATATTAGAAGAAAAGTCCCAGTCTGCTGAGCTCCTCTGTTGAGCAGCTCGTTACGTCTGTTGTTTAATTTGACATAAATAGTTTTCCCCATCTAAACAGAGGCCGTGTTAAATATTTATGTGCCTGTTTTTTTATTTTATGACAAGATTTGTGCGATGCAAAATAGAAACTGAACTAGTTGTGTCTTTATGGCGCATGAAATATATGAATGGATTAAGGAGCAAGCTCGCGAGAATGCCGTACATTGAAAATTGCATCATAAAAAGCAGAAGAGCGGTGCGTGAAAATAGGTGGATGAAAACTGTTCATATAAAAGTTGGGAGTTGTTAAAAGTATATATAAAAAAAAAGAGAGACAAATTCCACCACTGACTTATTCCATTCTCAGCCCAGTGAGGAAAGCCAAATACGAGTAATTGTATTTGAGGGCAGAACGTAGTAATTTAGACTGTTAAAACCATTGGTGTCATCTTTATTTAATCTCACCCATGGCGAGAAATCATATCCTCTCTTTTTCCAAAGCCAAACACACACAAATCTTCACTTCCTTCCTCCTCTTCTCTCACTCTCTCTCTCTCTCCTTCTTTTCCCCCTTCTCAACTCCAACAGTTTAAAGAATCCTTCCACTATCATTATTAGTATTGAACTCATTTCTAAATTCAGAAATTGGCTAAGGAAGATCATTCATTGCAGCAGATAGTAAAATCAATAGCTTTTGTGTCAGGCGGCAGGGTCTGTCTCCGTCTCTCTGGGTGGGTTGGAGCTGAGAGAGTGAGAGAGAGAGAGAGAGAGAGAGTGTGTGTGTGTGTGTGTGTGTGTGTGTGTGTGTGTGTGTGTGTGTGTGTGTGTTTGAGCAGCAGAGTACAGTACAGAGTGCAGACAAAAGGCGAGTGAAAACTGGGGGAGTGGGGCCACCTCTTGACGACATGGATACACAGTCACACACACGTGCACACATTTTTGCTCCCTCCTCCAGCTGGCCTGCAAGTTCCTACACACACTCAAATATGTTTGTATATTAAATACACATGCCTATACACACAAGCATATATGTATTGAATTTAAATTAAATATAGTTATACAGGTATTTACTTATTTGTTGATATTTGTTTGCTAATTTACAAACAGAAGCACACGTTTGCAAGATATAAATGTGCCTAAATGTACATACACATTTACTTAATTATTTGATTTGATTTTATGCATCAACACACTGAGTACATTTAAATATACACACACATACACACACACATTTTTTCTATTTTTTTTGCAGGCAGAGCCCAGTGACGGAACGAGGACAGCTTATCCCAATGAGAGTCAAATCAATCAAGTCCTTTTAATCACCACTCTGCTTTTATAGTGTGGCAGTAATGATGGAAGCCTATGTAGGGGCAATCCCCTAAGACCCCCCCCCACTCAACGCAACCCCCCCACCCCACGCGGCTCAGATTGGAGCCGACACACACACTCAACTCTGATGATTTTCATTTCTCAATTACATTATCTTATTAACCAATCAATTGCCGGCCTTATCAATAATTAATGTCTCCCCAACTATTAGAACGTAGATTAGATTAAACGCCAGTCTCTTGTCTCCCCTCTTTGATACTTTTAACTGGGCCCTTCATGGCCAATGTGATTTCAAGAGAATACTCCATGTATAAATTGATTTTTTAAAGATATATGTGTTTGTCAACTAGTGGTATATTTTTCTTTTACCGGTAATAAAAAGATTAATTTTCTCTTACTGTAGCACTTATTATTGTCATTAGAGAGCGCTAGATGAGAAATTAAAAATTCAAATGTCAAGCAACAAAAATAAAATGTTGTTTTTCTTTCTTTAAATCACATTTAAAGCTAACGCTGCCATTAAGCTAATTATTCTAGCTGTTTCCAATATAGTTTCACCTGCATTCAAATTAAAAACCATACATCACCAACTGGCAGACATTTTTTTTTCATGCCTTTTCTTTTTTTTTCTTTCTTTGAAAATATAAGGTTTTAAGGCTGAGCACCAGATTAAACGACTGGTTTAGAGGGATATTTTTTGCAGTGCAGTGCCCAGCTCTGGCATGCGCTGCTGCTCCTGCTGCCTGCCAGACGAGTGCTCGGAGGGGTGTAAAGGCACGAGCTTATGGATCGATGTCTCACTCTGCTCGGCCCAGCTGTAGCTGTTGTTTCTCACACAGAGAGGCTTTGTCTAGGCTCTGCAAAAAAACAGCCGGTAACAACTGTTTACCGTCTGCTGCCTCGGGCCTGAGCGGGGGCCTTGAACTCGTTACACCTTGCGGTAGCCGCCGGCAGCTCGCTCTTTGAGGCTGCTGATATTAACCGCTTCGACAGGAACTGAATTGGTTTGGGATTGGGGGGGGAATCTGGGGGCCAGTGCTATTGAAACATCAGGATTTTTGACTTGTATAGGAAAACCCTGGTGTGTGTGCATTTACAGACTCTCAAATACATGTGACAAGCCCACTAATTGTAGAGTGTAGTGTCATTTTCTCTTTTCTCTCTCTTGCTCAGGCACATTTTAACCCCCACACACACACACACACGGCACACACTCAGGGGTTCTTGACCCCAGACTGCAGGGCTGTGCAGCTGTTAATTATAACCTGGTTCATAAGTTACACACATGCTCACAATGGATCATACTGGTGCTATACAGAGGCAGTGCATAATCATTTTCTTATTTCTTTTTCATGACTTGGCTTGTAGGTGTCTGAAGTTGTCGGGGGCAGTGTTGGAAACTCGGACACACTCAGATTGAGGTAAGATGGGAAGAAAAATATGTGGAGATGTGGAGAAAAAGTGAGCCAGAGAGAGCAAAGCAAAGCTTCGTTTTCTTTCTCTCGGCATCCCCTTTCCTTTTTAGCCGGGACTCGAAACATCTGTCAGCACTCAGACTTCGGTGGCGGTGGAGGAGAGAGCAGAGGGGCCTGGTATGCAGCAGGCCCGGCCCAGGAATCAGTGGAGCCGCTCAGCTTGGCACGGCCGCCTTGTTTATTTGCCCTGACCTCGCATTCGCTCCGAGGTTACGGGACCTGCTCAGTGAAAGGAGCCATTGTCCTGCAGGAAAAATCTGTTACAAATATTTACCATGGGGAGGAATGCAAAGCCGTGGCCCGCAGCCAGCCAGACTCGAGCTGTAAAATTCACTACAGTGCATTTTTGAATTAGCCACCTCCACCCATCATTCCTTTTAACCGGGGTTAAAATTATACCCCCACGTTTTTGTTAATGAGATTACACTGTCACAGGTTATTAGTCATTTAATAGCCTTAACATCAGGATCCTGTGATTTCCTCCAACCTAAATGTATCCCTTAACGTAACATTTTAACAGAGGACACAGCATGTGTACAGGGACAGTGTGGTTATACATTTAATGACTTTGGTTGGTCTGTGCATTACTGAAATTATAATTCCCCTTAATTTTATGTATTTCCAGCAAACGCACACTAATTTGCTTCCCTGGCCTCTAGTTTGTGTACGACATTATATTTAACTACCACGCCGATGTTTTTCTTGCAGAAAAATCTGGAGCACATCCCCGCACTACATTTCTTATTCCACAGGGTCCCCCTGTTAGGTCAGTAGTAACAAATGCATTTTCAAAAAGGCTGCATAAATTCCCTTTCCCCCCCTCTCATATGGGTTTTCTTGAAAATGCCATACTGGTTTTAGCTGGAATAAATCTGCTGGTTTCCATCACGCTCGCCTTTTTTACCCTTGCAGCCGGACCAGGCGGACACCCTCACCGGCGCATTGACATGCAACAAAGCTAATGGTGGCCGGGACAGGAGGGCCTAATCTTCACTAACTGACAAGATTTAAATTGAGGAGACATCTTCCGCTGATTAGCTCCCACACCCACAATTATCCAACTGGGGTGTCAAGCAAGGTTTAACATCTCCACTGATTCTGCTCTCCTGAGACATCCGGGAGGCAATGCAATCGCTTTTAATAACTGCCTCCCTCCTTTGCTCCCTCCCTCCATCCCTCTCTCGCCCCTTCTCCTCGACGCCCAATGCTCCTCGTGCAGCACTGCGCTCCTGCCCCCCACCCCACCCACCCCCCCATTTCTTTTTCTCTCTATGCTGTTCCTCTCTCTCCCCCTTCCTCTCACTCTCTCTCTCTCCTACCTTCACTCCCTCTGCAGCCCCCCAGTTCTCAGTCATTCAAGCTCCCTTCAAAATTAACCTTTCCTGCGAAAATATAATTTCTCACAAAATGAACCCCACTGAGCGATTTTTTTTTTTTTTTTCTTATTTGGAATAATTTATTCAAATTGCCCAACTCAGAACAGCAGAGCAATCTGAACACCGAGTGGACCCCTGAATTTGGATCTGTCTCTCTTTTTTTTCATCTAAGGGTAGAGGGAGAGAGGAAGAAAAAAAAGTTTATGTACCTTGCTGTCTTCTGGCAAATAAGGGGACGGGCTTGCTTCCACCTTCTATCCCCAGTGCTCTGGCAGCGGTATCCCCCTCGAGTGTACACCTCATTAAAATTCATCTGATCTGAATATTTTTTGCAAATATGGTCTGATTGCTCACCATGACATGAAACATCCCTGTGTGTTATTTTAATCACACGCACCCCAACGGGCAACGTATATGATGGCTGTGACATTGAACTCCTCCACTGCTTGACCCCATTTTATGAGTGCACGTCATTTTAGGAGGGGCTGGGGGACGGCGGGGGGGTGGTGGTGGTTTGGAAGTTACCTGAAATGATGGACATGCTTGATAATTCTTCCCTCTTTTTTCTTCAAATGTTCACACAGCATCAGCTCGGTTTAAAGCCCCTCTCAATCACGTTGCCTCCCTGCTTCCCTCTCCCTCTCTAATGAACTGTTTTCTTCCGGTGATGGAACGGGGACACAAAGCAATGTGATTAATAATTTACTGTTTAGTTTTACTAATTGATCTGTTTTGGGAGCCAGGATAAAAGTGAGGATGCATCCTCGGCGCACAATGCCTTTCATATGGCATTTATCCACAAGTCACAACCGGCTCCCTCAAGATGAATAATGAACTAAACAAGATCAAATAATGATCACTTGGGAGTGTGAGAGAGAACTCCCTTACAAACACCACTGAGTTTACCTTAGTTTCTTTCTGCATATCACACAACAGAGTGGTGCAGGAGATGAGCTGTGCGGAGGCAGGTTATTATCAGCAACAAAGACCCATGTAAGGGCTTGCAAGGACAGGGCTTGTGATTAGTTTTAAGTGTTTGTGAAGTCGGAAAACTTTTCTGCATGTCTGTTTTAATTATGATATTGCTTATCCAATGATTACATTTGCTTACATTTGCTTTACCTTGACTATCTTTCAGAACAAGCAGAAAAAACTCACAAAGAATGTCATCCAGACTCCTTAACATCTAATTTCAAGGTAAGTTTAAACTTTCGGCAGTAACATAGTTTGTGCAAGCAAGTAATACATAAACATAAACCACACAGGACAATCATATAAAGGACACATTCAGTTTTCATTAAAAAAACATGCCCCTGCATCTAGAATCTGTCTGGTTAAGATTCCTTCAAAGAGAGGATGAGGCTTGCCAGGTCTGAAGAGCCTTAGTTATGATAGGAAAATAGGGCTTTCTAGATAATTTAGAACATCGTATGTCAGTGGCATGACAGTGAATATCTGAATTGAACAATTCATTTTAATTGAAGTAAATCTGAACTCTTGTATGTCAAATTGTCCTCCATACACGGCCCCAGTCAGTCATAACAACTCAGCATAGTCAGTGAAGTGCTTCCTGCTGGAACAGATTTGGGCTCCCGTCCCTCCTCAACCTCTCCCCAGTACTGTCATGGAAAAAGTACACCGGCCTGAGGCATCCTGCTGGCTCAGCAGGGGAATGAGCATACAGTGCATTTGTGACGTCATGAGTTTGAATCCCACTCATGACTTTTGACTCTCTGCACCGTGGAATGAAAATGAAATGCAATAAAAGCAACGATTGCAGTAACATTAAAGCGTGGACGTATAGCCCACCTGTGTGCTTTTGTTTTGCCACTGCAGTGGTATGGTCAGTTATTGAGTAAAAAACTATATTATCATTGTGTTTTTACTGCAAGATGAATAGGAAAAAACAAGGTGGTAAAATGTATATGAAAGTAACCTAACTATAAAATTCAAAAACATGAACACTGTTTGCCAGTTATGGATATTTATTTATGCACTCTCTCTTCAATGCTGGCTTTTAGCTTGTACTCGCCTGTGAGCCCTTTTCGCTGTGCTAATTTCTGCTCAGATGGGGAGGGCTGTGGGTTAGGCAAGGGAACGAGTCTGCAATATATTTATCCACAGCACCTTAACACTGAGGGGGGATTAAAAATGAAATGAGAAACATTCCTTCCTTGATGCGCCAAGGTCTTAAAAGAGACAGAATGGGGTGAAAAACATCTTGTATCACAGAGATGTTCATCTGTTTGCAGATCAGCCATGTGTGCTTTTTTTTTTAGTGTGTGAGACTGACTCAAATTTACATTTTATTGTTTTGGATTACACGCTGTTGGCCCATTGAACCTAATGTGGTTTCTCCGCCACCGTATCTGTAATGGTTATAGCTGTTAGCTTGTAAATAAGCTTTAATACAGTGAGCCAGTGTGAAGTACAAGTCTCTCTCTCTCTCTCTGTGTGTGTGTGTGTGTGTGTGTGTGTGTGTGTGTGTGTGTGTGTGTGTGTGTGTGTGTGTGTGTGTGTGTGTGTGTGTGTGTGTCTACATGCTCTCAGTGGTCTCTTATAAATATTCCCATGGCTGGGTAGAGAGTGTCATTATGTGTTAGCTGCAAGTAGCATAAGATTAAAGCACCAACTAAATGCCCATATCATTACCCTATTAGCATATGACATATATGTGTATAGGTGCCTGCTTAATTAGCGTTGATTGATTGGAATCAATGACTGTAAAAAAAAAAAAAAAAAAAAAGGGGGCTAAGAGGGGGCAGGGTTTGTGGGTTGGTAAGTAGGGTGTCTTGTGAAAGTATCCAGAATTAAACTGAAGATAGTCCTCTTATTTCTGATTTGATTTGGCTTAGCTGTTAAACATGCAGACAATCTAGTTGGCTTTGATACTCTACTAAAATCTATCCTGCCTGCTCCCCCACCCCCCTCAAAAAAAAAAAAATAGTAGCCTAATTTTGTCATGGATATTACACAGACACATGCATGAATCAGTGCTGGTTGTCATAATTATGTTAACATAGGGGATATTAAATGAGACAGGCCTATTTCCAAAGGTGAGACTGTAGAATCAACTCGGCGCTCAACAAACCTCGGTGTCAATCATGCAAGCGATTCATATTCAACTAAAGTCAAGCGCATCTGCCTGGATGCATTATTTATGTCGGAAATAAGCAGCTTAACCGAATCATGCTAGCAGCTATTAGCAAGAGACACACACCTAGCACGCTCCCTGTCTCTCTTTGGAGGCCATGTTTGAAGTCTAAATAACACAAGTTTGATTGGGCCCATGGAAGCTAAAGCAATCCCACTGAAGTCTGCTGTTTTATAGAGCTGGAACAAAGGTACGTCTGTGTTTGTAGTTGTCATTAGGCTGTGTATCGCTCTCTCTCTTTCCCTCTATTTCCCTTTCTCCCGCTCTCTCTGCGGGCCAAATAACAGTGGAGGTTAGCATTCCAGAGTTACGGCTCTATCCTCCTGTCATGAGCGCGAGGCTCTGTTTTAGATCAGCCGTCCCCGCCGCGCCTGATGGACAGCTCTGAGGATGAATGTAACATGAATAAAAACAGCACTGTTGACTGTACAAAGGCTTTTGTTGATGAACCAGAGCTTGCGCTGAGGGGAAGGGAGGGAGTGAGGGGGTTTCGGGGTTGTGAGAGGGTTAAGCGTTGCCGGTATGGTGGGGTAAGTGAGTGTCCTCCTCCTCCTCCTCCTCGCTGTTCATATTCAGTCTCCACCTTTCAAATATATCTCATTCATAATGGATAGATCCGGATCTCTGTTTTGCATCTTCAACTGACAGTTTTAGTGTTTTCCCTTTTTCTTCTTTTCCTTCACTTTTTTCATCCCGCCCCCCCTCTGGCTGATGTCCTGGTTACTGTGCTGTGGGAGAGTATGGCTGTTTGTAATCCAGAGGAATTTGTCTCTGTCTCAGAGCAAAGGCCTGTGATCTACGGCCTAGTTCTGTACTAGTGCAGGACATCAGAAACCTTCGAGTTTATTACAGGTAAAAATATCACAAAGGGCTTTTGCTCCATTTGTCTGGCATCACTGTCATGCTGTAGTATTTGCAGGTTGTGAGTTACAGGTAGACGGTGATGGTGAATCATTTCCTTTTGAAGTGGGACAGGAAAAAATGTCCTGGACCTGCGCACACATAAACACCTGCACTTACACTCAACCTCATAAACCCACATACAACAAAGCCGCATCAGGTGGTCCCCACAGGTTACCCATCATCAAGCCTAAATACAGCCCTCTATCATGGGCAGGCCTCCATTTACGTCTGCACACACACACACACACACACACACACACACACACACACACACACACACACACACACAGCACTGTAACCCTGGCAGCCCTAGCACAGGCTGCCTTTTACCCCTGCTTATTTAGATGCACTCAAGGACACAATGGGGGTGCATTAGCAGCGCCTGGCCTCACAGCAGCTGTAATTTCATTGTGGTTACCACATGCATCCTACTTGACTCTCAATTCACTCTCTGGAATGAGGGCCAAATAATGGGATTTACCCTATCTGACGAGGGCCTCCCACCCTTTCATTTTTTTGGAGTGTGTGAATGTGTCTCATACATGCAACTAACTACAAGTGTAGTTACTGGTATGTGTGTACATGCATGTATACAGTACAGTACATGCATATTTGTGATTGTGTTTTACCATATTTCCTTTTATCACTGCCAGTTCACCTATCACTCAGGGCTAAATGCGCTGCTACTCCACCAGTGTGGGTTAAAGGGATGAGCTTATTCTAAATGGACTATAGAGTAAATGGCTTTATAGGGCAAAAGGTTTGGTTGAACATGTGAGAGATGTCATTTTAGTCTGCTACAGATCCAGTTTTTGAATAGAAAATGCTTGTTGGGCATGTGTTTAAAAGCTGAGATGTATATATCATCTACAAAGTTACTTTTGTGGGTAAAGGTCTTCAGAAAACTAATACTGGGAATGTCATTGTGGAATCATCTTATTTTGATACATGTCCAATTTAGGATTTACATATGAAACTAAGCTACATGATCCGTTGAAGTAATCAGATGTCACTCAAAACGTTTTTTAATACAGAATTTCTAAACAGGGACTGGAAATGTTCTTCTAACTGCATATAATGAGCACATGTTAAGTATTAAAAAAGTCTGTGTCCATCTTTTGTTCCTGGTAGTATTTACTGATGCAGAAATGCTACAGTGTAAAGAAGATGTTGAATATAGGCTGCTACTGAGTAGCATACTGAGACTGGAGTGTTAGTTGCTGTATGTCTAATAAAACGCTATGCTCTCGCCTTAACCCTTATTTCTTAGTAATTAGAATGGGAAATAAAAAAAAGAAGTAAAAGGCTTAAAAACTTTTAATTTGTATTCATGAGATAAGAATTGTGAGCTACGAGAAGGAAGCAAACAGCTCCCCCATCACAATACAGCACACATCACTTTTATCATACACTCAAATGTTCACACGCACACACACTCACACGCTTGCACAGACACACATGCATGCACGCACACACGTGCAAACAGTACAAGAAACAAAAATTAATCAGGATGAACAAAGCTTGTCTGAACGTGCAGTTGCACATTAGCGTTCACACACACACACACACACACACACACACACACACACGCAAACACACAGAGGAAGCATTAATTTATTCAGGTTAGTGGTGTGCTTTAATTATTACAACCAGCCTTTCTCTCCCCCCCGCCCACCCCCCAATAATAGCCAGCACGTCTGTAGCTGTAGCTGTCAAAAACAAGCTGAAACAATTTCATCTGTGAGCAGAGAAACAAACACCGTCTCCTCTCTCTCCTCCTCTGTAGTGTAAAGGCCTTTAATCAGGCCCTGGTGTATTTTCTGTTTGTTTATTATGTGATAGTGAGAACATAGCCTCTAAATGTGTTATGTTGTTGCACAGCTTCACTGAGCATTTCCCAGCGAAGGGAAATTGATAGGGAGTTTCATAATTAAGCAAATTAATGAGTTTATTCAGTGAGCAACTAAACACTTAGTACGATGCCAGGTCCCATCTCCACAGAGACATGAAAAGTCTTACTTTGTTGCCAGGGTTGTTTGTGCTGTGAGTTTGTGCGTGCACATGTGTATGTGTTGCTGTATGGGAGTCTGTCTGAGTAAGCGTCCCTTTGTTTTTTTCGTTCATTTATACAGTCCTTTGC